AACTAAAAAACACTAGGGACCCAAAATTCAAAGACCCAATCCAGTAATGGGCATCCCAGATGAACACACACTTCTCAGAGGAAGAAATTAAAGAAGCGAAGAAATATATGAAAAAATGCTCCACATCACTAGCCATCTGCAAAATGCAAATTAAAACAACATTGAGGTAATATCTCACCTCAGAAAGAATGCCTATCATAAAGAAATCACCCAACAACAAATGTTGGAGAGGCTGTGGGGAAAAATAAAGCCTTCTTCACTGCTGTTGGGAATGTAGACTGGTGCAAGTATTCTGGAAATCAGTATGGAGACTCCTTAGAAAAGTTGGATTGGAAATCCCATTTAAACCAGCTCTTCCTCTACTGGGAATTTTCCCAGAGCATCTGAAAACATCATATCAGAGTGATATATGTGTGTCTATGTTTACAGCAGCACAATTTGTGATAGCCAAATCTTGGAAACAACCAAGATGCCAATCACCTGAGGAAAGATTGAAAAAGTTATGGTTCTTTTTTTACACAAGGGAGCATTATTCCACTATCAAGACTGATAAGCTCGAGGACTTTATATTGATTTTGATGCCACTTGAACATATACTCATAAGTGAAATAAACCAGACACACATGTGTAAATATCATATAGTCTCCCTAGTATAAGAACTCAAAGAAGAAATACAAATAGAAGGGTATAATAAAAGTAAAAGGAAAGCTGGATATCAAGGACTAACTAATCAAAAGAGGGAAAGGAGAAGAGCTAGGAAACATGAATAAATCAATCCATACAATTATATGTAATAGACAGGCAAGGCAATGATCCTGAGAATCTTCAGAATATTTTTTAATCTAGCAGTTAATTGGAAAGATTCTCACCATGACTAACTATACATACTGATAGCTGTGAACTAAGCTACTGCACTACAGATGGTAATTTGCAATAGTAGTTTCTTGCTTGGAGAGCCTGTCATTCTGTTCGTGGAGATATGGGCTGCTTTTCATGACATGCTAGTTACTGCCATGATGTCTTTCAGGTAGATGGTTGTTCAAAAAGAAGGGGTGGTGAATGAAATGACGATATAGGAAAAGGAATATTGTGGGACTGTCCTGCTTCAAGGTTGTATATGGTGAGATTTTTGGACTTATGTGTAAACATAAGTATATAATTCTTTATGACTGTTTTCAAAATATATTCTAATTTTTAAATGGTTTTTTATTATATTCTGTAGGGACTTAAAGTTCAACATATCAA